TGTCCAGACCCTAGACAGCATCTAGATAGATAAACAAAACTGGAGCGCGCTCTTACCAATATCGTCCGTGAGACGAAAACGAGCCATGTCTTGAACGTTACCCCCACCTCTGCAGGGCAAAAAAAAATAGCCGCAAACTTGGGAACGTACTAGAGAACATAAGCGCCTCATAATAATTTAAGAACTTCCACTGAGTTCCACTCGTCCGATTTTAAAAATTAAAAGCTATTTGTACTTGTTAACAAGCCTACTATACAGCGATATAGTTTTAAACAGAAAAATAAAAATAAATAGCTACACAAATAACAAAAGTATAAAACGAATAATATAGACATTTATCGTGTTTACAGCTAACCAGTTACCTTTAAACATAAGCAATAATATTGTAATCCAAATTTTATAGAATATAAATAATTTAATCAGTCATTCATTTAAATTAAAATTAATAGTTAATACCATATATAGTATATACCATATTGTATTGAAATAAGTACAACAATATTCCAAAATTTAACTTTTTAAGTAGGTAGGTACTTATTACTATATAATAAATAGGTAATTAATTTGGAATATTAAAATATAATATTGTAATAGGTAATGTAGGAAATGGGAAACAATAAATACAAATTCAACACAAAAAAAGAAGAAGAAATAAGATATATTTATAACATTTATTTATTTTAAATCAATACAAATACAATATAATATTTACACAATTTAAAAACATTAGAACAAATAGAATATCTTTATAAAATTTACATTTTAAACATTAAAACAAATTTTAATTTAATTTTTAAACATTTTGAAATAATATTAGTTTAGTTAATTTTTGTCTCAAAGAACTTTTATTTTTTAATACTTCCTTTGCATTAACTTCTTTAGCATAATGTCACATTCTAATATTTATGTAGATGTCACTAAGAGCTGATAATAGTTTATGCTCATGACTAGGAGAACCAAGTTCGACATTTATAGGATAAGTATTAGGAAAAAAGAATAAATTGGACTTATTTAATATATTCTTTCTTGCTAGCAATTAAATATTAGTTTTTACATTTGTATGTAGTTTTTTTTGCATGACCGCAATAAGTTGAAAGGATTTTTTCCAATTCTTTAAGAATTAAAGAAACAGCAGGAGAAACTATTTTTAATTTTCCTCTGGTAATAAAAGAGGTAAAGTTTATATTTTTTGTGTAGCTATGGTCAGACCGTCCATCAATTAGTATATCTATACAAAAAGGGCAAACTATTTTTCTAGATATATTTCTTACAATATATCCAGCAATATAATCTAATTTTTCGCCAGTATATTCTTTTAAATATAAATTGGATAAAAGATTTTTATATTCATCACCAAACACATCCAACTCATCAAAAACATCATCATTATTAGTAGATTTTTTAATACTTCATTTTTCAGAACGAAAATCCAATATATCTCCACCGGGAATTTCATAATATGAGCAATTTCCATTCTCAACAATAATATTTTTGGTGTACAATAAGTGCCTCAGGGTTTTTTTTAAATTGAACACAATTTGGGTTATTATTGTTCCCACCCGGCCACCCCTAGCTCAAATACACCCAAAAAAAGTTCAATGTGGTCTTGTGAAGTTTTATAAGTCAGAACATATTTAAGAGGATTTTGGGATCTATAAAGAAGCTTATATGCAATTTCTATGGTACTAGACATAGTTACTATGAAGCCTAAAATAAACATTTTCCTTCCACCCAATATTAAGAGGTTATTGTCACATTTTAAAGTTTTTAAATAATCAGATGTGTCGTTAAAAACCGATCTTATTGTAGCGATATTACCTGGGTTTATAGGACTTTTGTAACCTTTGGAAAATTGTATTCTGGAATTGAGGATATCAAATATTCGATCTATTTGTCTTATAAAATATACTGTAGCATCACTGTTCTGGAATGATGGTACACCTTTTTGCTGTAAGTATTCAATTGCATCTGCTACCCACTGCTGAGTGTCTGTGCAGCTAACTTCACTTTCATAATAGAATTTTTGTAATTAATATATGTGAACTTAATTTATTAGCAAATTTTAAGCCAAGTTTATTTTGAAATTCATTTAGAGAGCTTATGTACTGCCATTTAATATCACCAATATTAGATTAAATAATTTGTTTATCAGCCAAAGAAGATCTAGCAAGTTTAAGCATATGACAAGTATCAAAAATAGAATATACTTCAATTGATCTATTTGCATTATTTACAGTAAATTTTGTGTTCAAACTATGCGTCTCAAAATTACAGCCTAATTTTTTGAAGCTTTGTAAATTAGAAGGAGCACCATCGCAAGTTACATTCCATTCTTGTATTCCAACCTCATTAAGTTTAATAATAGCAGTAGATATTAAGGTACTTAAAACACTACTGTTAATTTTGTTGACATAAAAAAAAACCAATAGGACATTTAAACTGTCTAGTTAAGCTAACTATCATTAATACTAAAGCTTCAGTTGCTAATTCAGAATTTTCACCAGTACCAAAATCAACATTTCCTGCATATCTACCTTTATCTGGTTCCCTAACTAGTAACTAGTTGCTTTCTTAAAGACATTGAATCATGAACAAGTGAACAATCTTGAAGCCAAGAATTTTTAGAAACTTCTTGTTTCAAAAACAAAAATACTTCTTCCAAGAAGCCAGGTTCACATTCCGTACTACTTAACCATTTTCTAATAGTTGAAGGATGCGGTAGCGTGAACATTTTGCGTACATATTTATAAGCTTTAGGTGAATAAAAAAAAAGGGTTTTAGCAAAGTCTTTCATAGCATTTGTATAGCGAACACACTTCTTATGAAGCATTTTAGATTTATGTTCATGCAGTAATAACGTTAATGGAAACCCACCAAAATTTTCTTCCAGCATTTGAGTTACTTGATGTAACATTTTTTTTTATTCTTAGAATCAGATCTAAAAAAAATCTTGATTAAAAAATCTAAAATATATAGTTATACATGTATAATGTCTATCGTAAAGTACTGTTTAGACTTATACTATATTATATTAGTAATATAAAATATTATATTATTGTATATTCATCAATAGAGATAGAGATTCTAACCTAACCTTTTTATAGTGATTTAATATTAATTATTAATTAGTATAATATAGTTATTACAATTCGGCATCGGAATTTCGTTCAAGTTAAAAATTAAAACTAATAGGTAATTATTATAAATAATTATATGGTTGTATCATGTTCAGGGTATGGGTGTACAAATAGGCGACAGAAAGAAAATGGGATACATTTCCATCGGTAAGTGTAATATATATTTGAATATTTCCATCAAAAATCAAAATCTCGTGTCATAATTTTCAATGAACACACTTTATAATTCTAGATTTCCTCTAAAAAGACCAGACGTTTTAAAAAAATGGTTACATGAAATACGACGAAAAAATTGTACACCCAACCAGTACAGCTATTTATGCAGTGAACATTTCACACCTAGTGATTATTTAAATGAATCTCGTCCAGAGTTAAATAAAAAGTTGCAAAAAGATGAAGCAGTTCCATCAGTCTTTAAATTTCCTCAGCATTTACAAAAAAAAAAACAAAGTCTAATTGTAGTTTAAAAATATCTACCTACACTATACATACAATTTATAATATATTATAATATAATAGATACTAGTATTATGTTATGTACTGTATTATTTTTACAGCTACTAATTTTCCAATTAATTTACATACTATATAATATATTTTAGTGTACCTATAATAATATTATTTACTAGGTACCTACTTAAATATATATTTTTTTCAATTGCTTAAAAGATACCTACTTAAGTATAATAATTAATAATGTTTACTAATTTATTAAATGTATTATAGGCCAATGATCAAAATAATATGATTCATGCAGAAATAGTTAATGAAGCTGGCGAAGATTCATCCACTAATACCATGGTATTATCAAATTGTTTAATTTATAATTTATTTGGATTTTAAGTTAATACTCATATTAATAAGCTCTTATCTGGTAAATGGTAATGAATAATTATCTGTTGTTTAATATCTAATGTTTGTAGTTTTACCAGAGTGAAACATCTCACCAAAAGGAAGATAAAATGGTACAGTGTAATATTAAAACTTTTAATAATAAATTGTACCAAAACAAGATTAAGATATTACAACAACGATTGAAAAGAAGAAATAGTAAAATTAAATCATTAAAAGGTAATTTTAACTATATACATTAGACAACTATGACTATATTATGTTAATTAGTAAACTGTTTAACACTATTGGTTAATTCAATAATAATTTTCTTCACACACCAAGTTTACTTAAGTGTAATTTATGTTTTTACAATATTCATGATCAACATCTCAAAAAAGTAATAATATTTTGGTATATATAATAAATAATAATGTATATAGCACTTAATATTTTATAAGAATTTTGTGTACTACGGTCGTAATATAAAACAGTATTTATTTAAGTTTTAATATTCTATAATATATTAAACAATACATATATATCACAAAACAGTTTACATACACATTAGTCACTAAACATTATAAAAGTAATGAATACAATTTTAAAAAATTTCAGAATCTGTGGAACATCTTTAATATAGGCCATTATGGTTTAAGTGTTAAACTGTGTCATTATTATTATTATTATTATTATATTTAAATTTAAACTATTTATTGTAAATCTATATATTAAATATTATAATTATGTATATTTTACACTGTATGCCTGTACTATACTGTATATTTAAAATAAAATTGGAATTATATTCCGTTAGGTATATAAAGTTTATTATTATTAATATTAATATATTATTTGTTTTAGAAAAATTGACAAGCAAAGTTCTTTGAACAATTTTGAATTGGAATATAAACTACAAAAGGTACAAATTAACTTAATTTAAATTTATAGTATTTTTATAAACAATAGTTTGATTCTT